CAATTAATTGTAAAAGAATTACTAGAGTACCAACTAAATAAATTTGTATAATAATATATTTAAGGGTAAAGTATAGTAATGGTCACTGAACATTTCTGAAGCTTGCATTTAGGTCTCCCAACTTTTAAAACTTGCAATACAGTCCCCCAACATTTATTCCGTTTGCAATATGGTCCCCAACTTAAACCACCGTTAGAAATTAGGGTAAATTATATAAAAGGTTATTGAACTTTTCAGACACTTGAATTTAGGTCCCCCAACTTTTAAAACTTGCAAAACAGTCCTCAATTTCATTCTAAACCCCAATTTCCAAAGTAATTCAATTTCATTCTAAACCCTAAATTCCAAAAGAATTCAATTAAATTCAATTATGTCAGATTTATTATTATTTAATTTCATCTTATTTCATGTGATACGTATTTTTTATATAAATATAATAGTATAATTCTTATATGTTGAAGAAATTTTTTAATTAAAAAAAGTAGTTAGGATATAGAAGAGGTTGAAAATAATTTGAATTTTAAATTTATAAAATGTTATTTTGACGTATAAATAAAAGTGTAAACTACTAGGTTGACAACTTAACTATCTAGCCCTTTTTACTTTTGTCATCGATCTTTTAAATTTATCAATCATACAACATAATTATTTAACTGTTTCAACTAAGCCACTAGTCGTTACCAATTGATAAAAATGATGATGTGGCAGTTAAAAGGAATTGACATTATTATACATTCAGTCTTTATTATTTATATAATCAATTTGGTCCTAAATTAAATAGAATTTAATAAATTAATCATTTAATTAGGATCTGACATGTGTTAGCACATGATCATGACACGTGTCATTGGTGACACATGTCACCACCTAATTATTTATATATGCTATTAATTTGGTCCTAAATTAAATAAAATTTAATAAATTAATCATTTAACCAGGATCTGACATGTGTTAACACATGATCATGATATGTGTTATTGGTGACACATGTCACCACCTAATTAGAAGAAAATTAAGTTACAAAGAAGTAAAATTTGGGTCTTAGGCAAACTCAAACCTGAGTCAAGCAAATGAAAGATATAGGGTGGAGCCACTAAGCTAACACCATCGTTTGTGTTAAGAGATATACAATAATTCATATACTAATAGTATGACCAATGCCAGAAAAAAAAAGAATATAATGGAAAATGGAAATAATGAGATTTGAACTTTGGCAAAAAAATTGAAAGCAATAAATGATGGGAAAATATTATATTTTTTTACAATAAAAAATATTATATTTGATAAATTGTTTGATAGATTTAATAAATTTTTTAAATATTAGTTGATACAATATTTTAAAAGAATAAATTTAAGATTTATATATTTTTAAACTAAATTTAATAATTATATTTTCATATTTATAATTCATGATTATATATATAATCTTAAGTTGAGTATTTCTAATAAATTAATAATTTTAATTTATTATTAAAAATAAAATATTCAAAAAATATAATGATTCATACATTATATATGAATATATTTTATTTATACATCTAAATATAAATATACATTTATATAATATATTTTTATTCGTATATTGAAATATTTTGATTAAAATATAAACATATTTTAAATACTAGTTTATACAAGAAAAATAAAATATATCAAAAATATAAATGATTCATACATTTAATATAAATTGAATCATTTATATTTTCTATACATCTATATTTAATAAGAAAATAAAATTATTGGGGACTGTTTTGCAAGTTTTAAAATTTGGGGACCTAAATTCAAGTGCCTGAAAAGTTCAATGACCGTTTATATAATTTACCCTAATTTTCTAACAGTGATTTAAGTTTGGGACCATATTGCAAACGGAATAAATATTGGGGGACTGTATTACAAGTTTTAAAAGTTGGGGGACCTAAATGCAAGTTTCAGAAATGTTCAGTGACCATTACTATACTTTACCCTATATTTAATTCTTATTATCTATATATTTTATGAAAATTATCATAATAATATTACAAATAATTTATTAAATTTAATCGTATAATAAGAGAGTTTGGACACGTCTAACCACTAAACAAAGTTCAATATTTTATTTCTAGTCGACAACATTTTATATATAAATCAAATTACCTTATTGATGAATTTTTCTTAATAGGTTGATGAATTAAAAATGAAGGATGGGAGAGGACTCAAATATGGGAGAGTAAGTCGCGTCTAACCATTAAATCAAGTTTAATATTTGTTTATAATTTATAATATATATATATATATATATATATATATATATATATATTTAACTATAACTTATTAGTGAAAATAAGAGAATGATAATATTTTAGTAAAAAATATAAATTAAAATGTTATATAAAAAATTTATACACAAATAAAAAACTTTAAAATTATTAATTAGATTAAAATGTTGATTCAATGTATATATAGTTATAAAAAAGGAAAAGAATAAATATTATATCTAATTTAAAAATATAAAAATTTATGTCAAACACAATTTAATCTAAATATAGTATTGTATAATTATAAAATAAATATTTTTTATTAATCAAAGGTATTTACAAGTATCAGTATCTGTTTTAAATTATAAGATAAGTATTTAACTTGGTTTAATGGTAAGTGTGATAGTTTAGATTTAAATCACTTAAAATCCATTCTTATTTTAAAAATATCTTGCATTAACTAAATTTAACACAAATATAAAAATATTATCGATCATAAATTAAATAATGAATTTGATTTAAGCCTTGTTTTGTATTATTTTTTAAACATACTTTTAGCTAAAAAATCTCGTTTTGGTGGCAAAATCAATGCCAAAAGGATAAAAAATAAAACAAAATTGTGGTGGAATCAATGGTTTCAAACCAAACGAAAAAGTTAGATTTGTAGCTTTTCCATTTTTAACTTTACGTTTGTAATCAAATTATAATTTTACCCTTATTAATGCATGGGCTCCATTCAATTATGTATTTATATTTTATTTTAATAATTTAATATTAACATCTTAAAAAAAATTATTACTTAATAATTTATTTTAATTACTTAAAATTAAATAAAATCCGTGGCTTATATATTAAAATTCACTTTAATTTGCAAGCACTAAAGTTTTTTTATAATATTTTTTGTCAAAAAATATTTAAATTATTATTTAGTAATAATTTTATATCCACATGTTAAAAAGTATTTATAATAAAATATTTTATTTATAAAAATATTATTAATGAGTTATCTTAAGATGTTCTTTATATTTTTATTATAGTTTAAGTTGATATATTTTATATATTATAGTATTAAAAAGTGTAAATATAATTCAAATTTTATATTTTTAATTTACAACATAAGGTTTATAATTGACATTTTACCTTTTCAAATTCACTTTCTAACAACAATTTTAATCAGTTAAATTTTAAACTACACTTTTAAATAACACTTTTTAAAAAAATTCTATCGCACTTTTAGAAATTACTTTTTAAAAACCCTACCAATTTGACCCTTAGTGATTACACATGTCATACCCCATTAGATCTCACACTAAGTTTTACTATTTTTATTTTCTTGATTTTCACTAATAAGATATAACTTAACCTATTTATTGAATATTGTTGACCATAAATAAAATATTAAACTTGGTTAAGTGGTTAGGCGTGTCCAAAATCTTCCAAGTCACAGGTTCGAGTTCTCTCTTGTTTGCTTTGATTGAAACCATATTGACAAAATTCGGTGACATAATTGACAATATTTTTAGTTTAATGAGAAAATTTAAATCTACCCAATAACTAAGTGATCTTGAGACAGTTTACCCTAAGTTTTAATTAAATAAAGTAAATCCACGCTACACGTGCCCGTTTTCACCATCATATTCTACTCGATTTATTGAAAACATTTGCCTGAACCAGAAACTTTATATTTCGCCCACCAATGTCTATGTTCTATTTCTCTTTTCTATTTATTTGATTTGATAAGATAAATTAGAAATTAAGCAATAAGGTAAATTATGCGTTTAGTACTTAAACTATTAATTTTTGTTCATTTTAGTATCTAAACTTTAAAACCATATATAAAGTTTAGTTTTTTTATTTCATTTTAGTACACTGTTCAAAATTTAACGTTAATTTTTGAGGTAAAATTGAAAGTTTAGGCACTAAAACGGACTAAAACTAATAGTTTGGGTACTAAACGCGTTAAGTTTTTAACGATTGGTACTAAATAAAACAAAAACTAAATGTTATGTATAGTTTTGAAAAAATTGAAAGTTCAGGTACTAAAACGAACCAAAACTGATAGTTTAGATACTAAATTTGTAATTTACCCTAAATAATTAATTAAGGGTAAAGTACCAAAATGGTCCTTCGAATATAGAGTGTTGCTTTATTGAGTCATCTGACTATTAAAAGTTACCAAATGGTCCCCGATTATAAAGCATTGTTTTTTAAGTCCCCTGACTATTAAAAGTTACAAAATGGTCTCCCGAATATTCATTATGTTCTAAACTCGTCCTTTTCCGTTAAAAAGTTTAATAGCAATTTGAGTTGTACGTTAACATATTAACTAAGACATGATATAATATGATCTCATAATCTCAAACGATTATCATATCTCAATCAATAGGTTAACATCCAGCTCAAACTGTGATCATTTTTTTAACAACAAAGGACGAGTTTGGAACACAATGAATAATCGGTTCACTATTTTGTAACTTTTAATAATAATGAGACTTAAAAAACAATGTTCTATAGTTAAGGGATCGTTTTGTAACTTTTAATAGTTAGAGAACTCAATAAAACAATATTCTATAGTACCACTCTACCTTAAATTAAATTATAAAGATAAATATGTGTGAAATATAAAATTGAATTATGGAATAAGAAAATAGAGCAGCCTGCGCCGCATTTTTTATCCTCGTTCCGTTCCTTGAATACTATACATGAATGGAAGCTAGACAATATTCTACTTGGCAAAATCCACAAGAAAAAGAAAAATGGTCAGAAAAACCACCCTGGTCCAAATCAGACAGGTAAATCGTTCTGTTTTATTTCATGTAATAACCACAAAGATTCTTTGGAATCCAAATCAGCTTGATTGATATGGTCAGTATCATCTACAGGGCCGGAGCTGGTCAGTTCCTGAGCCCTCAAGGCTTGGAACTCCCAGTCTGTTCGAGTCACCACCAGCAACATGGTCACCACACACGAGCCTTGTGCGGCTAAAAGACCGAGCCAAAGACCTTTAAAATCGAACCCAGCGAAGAAACTAAACCACACCGCAATCGGCATTCCCACAAGGTAAAAACATCCCAGGTTGATGTTGGCTCCTAGTTTTGGTCTGGCAGTACCTCTTAACACCCCACACCCCGTTGTTTGTGGGCAGTTCCCGAGCTCACACAGTCCCACAATAGGTAACGCCATTGTTGTTAAGGCAATGATTTCAGGGTCTTGTGTGAACATTGTAGCCCATTTTTCCCTAAAGAGTATAGTGAAAACGAATGCCGAAAGTCCAATCACGGAACTCGACGATAGGCCGACGATAGCCGCCGTTTTCGCCTTGTTCGGATTGTTCGCTCCGAGCTCGTTTCCGACTCTGGTCGACACACTGAAACCGAGAGACGATGGGAAAATGTATATCAACGATGTGCTTTGAATCAAAATCCCCATGGAAGCAACGGTTGCTTGTGGATTCAACAACAAACCACATAGCAAGATCATGATCTCGTACCACCACCATTCGAGGCAAACCGAAATGCAGCTCGGGATGGATAAATTCAACAAATATTTCCATCCTTTTAAGCACTCACTCGAGATTCCACCCCATGTTTTCTTATACACGCCGGAGATTTTAACGTAAAAAACCAATGAGAAAACTAGGTTGAAGTTGGTCCAAACGGAGCCTAAAGCAACGCCTTTGATACCAAGATTTAGAACCGAGACGAGGAAGTAGTTAATGGGGATGTGGAGAAGAATAGCTAGAGCTGAACAGTATGTGAGAGGCAGAGTTATGGATTGAGCCCTCAAATATGTACGCAAAGGATGCAAAATCGATTGTGCTAGAAGATCCGGGAGAGAATAAAGAATGTATTTTTGAGCTTCATCGGCGATGCTTTCATCTTGTCCACAAAACAGAAGGATGTTTCTCATGCTAAACCACAAAGAAGATATTAAGATTGAAGTCAAAAGAAGCAAAAGTATCATTCTTTGCATGGTTAAACCCAGGAGCTTGTATCTTTTGGCACCAAAAGCTTGACCGCAAATGGGTTCCATCCCCATGGCAAGGCCCGAAAGAACTGAATAGCCGGTGATGTTGGCGAATCCGAGACCGAGCGAGCCACCGGCTAAGGCCAGTTGCCCTAGACGGCCGAGAAACAGCATGGAAATCATGGAACGAGAGTAGAGCAAAAGGCCTGTCAATACCATGGGCAAAGCTATGTTGGATATGCACTTTGCTTCTTCAATCACAAGAGACAGACATGTGTTTTGTGGTGTTGGGTCCTTGGGGTTTAAAGGAGTTAACATGTCTGGTTCTTGTACTTCCATTGAAGTAACCTTTTCATGGTCCAGGCTCTGCTTGCGAGATGTTGAGAACCAACAACACATGTTTTTTTTTTTTTTTTTGCACTTTTTAAGGTAAACCCGAATGAGAGAAATTTTGGGATGATAGTTGATGGGATGGGTGCTGAGATTTTGAGGAGGTTGTGGGTTTTATAGGGGGATTTTATGCTGTTTTAAAGACAAGAAGGGAAACGGTCCACCCAATCCAGGACGGCTATTTTTAACAGAATGAAAACTTAAGGGTAAAGTGCACAAATGGTCCCCTGACTATAAGATGTTACTTTGTTAATTCCTTTGACTATTAAAGGTTTCGGGATAGTCCTCTAACTATTCACATATTCAAAACTCATCCTTTATTATAAAGATTGACGATCGTCTGAGTTTAACGTTAATATGTTGATTGAGATATACTAAAAATCATATTTTAATGATGTCTGTTGGCACTACTGTTGCTTTCAAGTATTGACTGATATAATGTAAATAGACTCAATCCATAAAATATAACTCAAACAATTCTAAGACATATTTCAATTAGCAGGGTAATATTTAGCTCAGATAATCATCAATTTTTTAACGAAAAAGTACTAACTTTGATATATAAATAGTCTAGTGATTATTTTATAACTTTTACTAATAGAAGGACTCAATAAAATAATATTTTATAATTAAAAGATTATTTTATATATTTTAATAATCGATCACCTTAACAAAATAATGATTTATATTGAGTGCCGTCTATATACTTTACCCAGGAAATAAATAACGAGAAAGACTTTAACAACCGCGAGAAGTTATTGTTGCCTTTGTGCCCTCCACGTGAGAAATCATCCCCTAAACATCACTATATCAAAACTTAGCTGCTTTTTTTGGATCTAAAGTGCTTCTACAAGTGTCGACTACTTATAAACAGGCCCGCTTAAATTGATTTTCTTTATTTACTAATAGCGCATTAAATTGAATAGGATCACAAGAAAAATGATTTTTTAACACTTAAATATAAAATAAATGTCCAAACTATATTATTTTTAACGAATAAGTATCAAAAGTACTTGTTAATTTATCTTTGTATCTAAAGTTATAAAAGTTATTAATTAAGGTGTTTGACTCATCAACGATGCCAATTTATCCCGTTAAAGGACATCTATCACAATCTAATTATTACAGACACGGTTGATAAATTATATGATTTGTTGATTGATCGATTAATGTTGTGCTTTTTAAACAAGGTTTCTAGTTGAGGGAACAAAAATCGAAGTATGGACGGTTATACGTGGACTCAAATATGCACACACGGGATGGGACTTGACTTATTTGTTGTTCAACTTCTAATCTTTCTTTATTCTATCATTAGTGGATTGGTTTGGTAGATTTATGGATGGTTTTAATAATCATTTTATGCTTCAAGATAAATGTGCAAAGTATTTTCTAGCAATGGTGTCACATCAATGTTGGATTGATTTAATTTGTTTTTTAGGTTAATTGTTTGATATGTGAATTGAATAAAGTGAGAGGTTGGGGTTTAGCGATCTGTCCCTATAATTTTGTGTTGAATAAGAGGTCGGCCGGATGTGGACGATGCAGTGTCCTAAAGACAATTGAGTTTTAAAACAAAAGCAGCATGTGAGCCTACACCAAGGACAGTTCCACGCTTGCCTTCTTACACGTCTTTTTTTTTTTTTCAATTTGTCGACTGATATTTCAGTTATGAAAATTAAGATGATTTTATAAATTTACGCGAATCAGTTATCAAAGTTTATTTTAAAAATAACAAATCAAGTTACCTCATTATTTAAAAGAAGGATTCAAGATGGTAATGAGTCAGATTAAAGTCGGGATTTTTGTCAACCTAACTTGACCTGAAAATATGTATCATTCACCCGATTTCGATCTGACTCAAAAATTATATACCATCTACTCGCTCCGATTTAACCCAAAATTTTAAAGTACAAATCCGACCTAACCTAATATAAAATAAAGACTTAATTAAAAAATAATATTTTTTTATAAAATTACATTATTATCTCCGGGTTGGGTTGGAGTATTTTCACCCTCAATCTAAACCCGATCCAACCTCACCCCTTTAAAAAATTTGACCCGACTATTGGAATCGCCGGTACACCCCATGACGCAACGGAAAATTAATCCGACAATCTCACCAGAGATCTACGTATGAAAAAAAAAGTCAGGAGAAAAGGATGCGTGATTTACCTTGGGTTCTTGGAATTAAAGCAAAAATGAAACAACGATGCAGTCACGATTAGTAAGATTTTGAATCTTAAACCTTCACGAAATTGTCTTGGCCTATACTCAGTACACCTGATTATGAGCCAAATTTTCTTTCTTTAAATTGTTTAAAGAATTTCATAAAGGAACTTCTGACAATTGCTAGACATTATTTTCTTTTTATATCGTAATTACTTAACCTTTAGGGTTTCTCTCTCTCAAATTTATATATATATATTAAAAGAATTATAATTACTCTAATTATATTCTTTTAATATTTATTTAGTATATTAAGGATAATTAAAATTACATATATATATATATATTAAATATATATTAACTTTAATTATATACTTTATTCATGTATAATAAAATTGTACATGTATAACCTTTTTAATATTTGCCCATTTTAATCCTAGGGCGTGACCCTATAGGTTCCTGTAATATTAGTAGTAATTATTAGAACCATTCTAATATTACAAACAATAAGTGATATCTAGCAATATATCATCGTCACTTATGTTACAAGAAGTCATTATTTGACATAACCTCTCAGTGACTAACTCTTTTTATGTATTATATCCTTTTGTCCTTTATATCTAGATTTGGCATAAGTCCTGGAACATTCACACTTGTATACCCCATCTAAGTGTCTTGATATCTAGAGTAGACTATAATAAACAAACAACTTGTTCGAGCATGGCCATACTTTTCCAGTTTCACTCAATCAAGTGGCCGGTGATATAGCTCCTATTATGTAGAAAGGAGAAATCATATCTTGATCACTCACACCCCACTACATATATCGTTATATGTCCAACATCAGTCTTTATAGTGCAACCAGTTATGAAACACGTTTAATCCTATCAAAACATACGACTATATATGTTGAGAAAATGATGATCTCAAGTCTGAGGATCATACATGTAGTCATCGCTATGAGTAATGTTGTAACTGTCACATAATAATCCAATACATATCCTCATAGTGGGTCAATCCAATATCTTGTTCTCTAACAACATACTCATGTATTGATTTTGACATCTCTAGGTCAATGACAACTCATTGTCATAAATCAACTACATATTAGCCTTGAACATATTATTATTACCCATGCCCACAATAATAATTGACTAAGGACCTTTTAATAATAATCATATTATTATATGGAATTTATTATCTTTTAGTTTAATTAAGACACAAAAGTATAACTGAAAAAAATAACGGCAATGTCTTTATTCAATAAACAAGGTAAATAAAGTATATCATTACAATCATCTCATGATTGGTCTTTGGGCATACTTTAACAATGTCCCACTAGCACTGAGATCAGTCATTCACATATACAATGTCGAGTGACTCAGTATGACGGTCATGCTTCTGTTGTGTTAGGGGCTTCATCAGGGGATCCATAACGTTCTCATCCATGTGTACTCTACATATTTCCACATCTCCTCAATCTATGATCTCTCGAATGAGACGGAAGCAAAAAAGAATATGTTTGGAGTGTTGATAAGATTTAGGTTCCTTTGCTTGTGCAATGGCTCTATTATTGTCACAACAAAGTTCTATAACATCTGATATCATGGGAACAACCCCTAGTTCAGATATGAACTTCTTGATCCAAATAGTCTCTTTTGCTGCTTCACTAGCTACAATGTATTTAGCCTCTATTGTAAAATCAACTACTATGTCTTTCTTTAAACTCTTCTAGCTCACGACACCACCATTAAGACAAAACACAAAACTCGATTGCGATCGTGAGTCATCCTTGTCAGTTTGGAAGCTATCATCCGTGTAACCCTTTACACTGAGCTCAATTTCACCTCCATATACAAGAAATGTATCCTTAGTTCTTCTCAAGTACTTAAGGATATTTTTAACTACAACCAAGTGACCTTCACCAGGATTTACTTGATATCGACTCGTCATGCTTAAAGCATAGGATACATCCGGACGAGAACATATCATGGCATACATGATAGAACCAATAGTCGAAGTATATAGAATACGAATAATTCGTTCTCTATCTTATGGATTTGAAGGATACATTTCCTTCGAAAGTGATATGCCATGTCTCATAGGTTGAAATCCTTTCTTGGATTCTTCCATATTAAACCTTTTTAGTACTTTATATATATATATATATATATATATATATATATATATATATATATATATATATATATACTTTGACTCAGACATAAGAGTTGTCTTAGTCTATCTTTATAGATCTTAACTCCTAAGATATATGCTACATCACCCAAATCTTTAATAGAAAAATAACTACCTAACCAAGTCTTAACATAGTGTAAAATAGGTATATCATTTCCTATGATGAGTATGCCATCTACATACAAGATTAGGATTGAAACAATGCTCCCACTAGCCTTCTTATAAGAATAAGAATCATCTTCATTTTTGATAAAACCAAACTCTTTAATTCCTTCATTAAAATGAAGATTCCAGCTTCGATAAGTTTGTTTTAATCCATAAATATACCTCTATAGCTTACAAACCTTTCCAACATTTCCTAGAGTGACAAAACCTTATGGTTGTGTCATATACATATCCTCTTCAAGTTTTCCATTAGGGAAATCAGTTTTGACATCCATATGCCAGATTTTATAATCATGGAATGCAACTATTGCAAGCAAGATCCAGATGGATTTAAACATAACAACAGGGGAGAAAGTTTCATTATAGTCTATATCGTGAACTTGTTGAAAACATTTAGAGACTAATCGCCCCTTGTATGTTTGTACATTACAATCCATGTTGGTTTTCTTCTTGAAAACCCATTTACACCTGTCGACACCGTTTTTTGCCTGGGCAGGGAAAAAACCGATACCGACTCGGGATTTTTCTCTTTGAAAAGTGTTTCAAAATGTGAGGAGT